TTTGAGACAGAGCCTCTCTCTGTCACCAGGCTGGAGTGCAGTGTGCGATCTCAGCTCACTACAACCTCCGTTTCCCGGGTTCAAGTGATCCTCCTCCCTCTACCCTCCCGAGTAGCTGGGATTACAGGAGCCCACCACAGTGCCCAGCTAATTTTTGAATATTTTGGTAGAGACGGAGTTTCACCATATTGGCCAAGCTGGTCAAACTCCTGACCTCAGGTGATCCACCTACCTCAGCCTCGCAAAATGCTGGGATTACAAGTGTGAGCCGCCGTGCCCGGCCTAAGAATTAGAATCTTGAAGTTGAAAGGGATCTTTGTGATCAGTTGTTTCATATTCGCAGGCCGTAGATATGCTCAGAGAAGTCAAGTGATTGGCTTAAGGACTCACACCTATCATGAGGTGAAGTCAGAATGAGAAAGAACTCAGCTGTCTTGACTCCTCCTCCACTGCCTTTTCTGTGCACCACACTAAATAAGGTGAAAAAAGTATAAGAAAAAGTGGAAAGTGGTGCCTTGGGCTGAGGGCAGTACAAATTCCCCTTAGTCCTGAAATTTTGGACTGACTTCAGGAAGAGCTAAGCCGGCAGAATACCCTAGGGACCTGGGCAGGATGGAACGTTTGGGTTTGTGCGTCCTTTGTTTTGAAGAGTTTGCTTCCTTCTCTGGCTATATTTAATGATTTGCCTCCCTGTGCAACTTGGTGGAGCTTAGTGTTTTTGTGGAAAATCCATGGCTGTCTTTCATATTTGGAAGATAAAGGTAAAGGAAAGACAAAACCAAAAGGCTAAATTGCAAATGGAATACTTCATTTTCCAAATAAATTAACTGGGATCCTTAAATATGGTTTGTAATAAATTCACTATATTCTGGCAGAGTCCCAAGAGTTCAGTAAATTACCTTTATTTAACAAAAGTGGTACTGATAAGCAAAGCTGAATATACCATTGATGGGGAGTCAGGAAGGGAGTGAGGGAGCCTGAGTTTTGGCCCTTGGGGACGTGCCTAGGCTGTGACTTCTGGGTGCCTTGGGGACGAAGGCTGCCCAGGGAGAGTTTTCACACGCAGAGCCCTGAGTGAGCATGTGGAGCTTTTTTCTCCCCATGCTATTGCCAGCGCTTTGTCTGATGCCTTCTGTCCCGCAAAAGATCTTGTGAAAAATAAAATTCCAGTCCCCAAATGAACAGAATCCAATATAACTGCATTGTGGAAACACAATAACAAATAGTGAAAGTCTTTACCTGCCCTCAGGTGGGCTACCTGCGATGGCAGTGGGTATTTACTCTGAGGCCTGCCTCCCTCTGCAACCCCGGAAGGTCTCTTTTCAAGGGACTGGGAACCTTGGTGCCCTTTTGGCTTTTAGGCTGGGTTAGGGCTGTCCCTCCTGAAGCTTTCTCCCTGTGCTCTGCTTGCTCCCACTGTGCCCTCTAGTGGAGGGATCGCTCTTGCTTTGTGACATTTCTAGAAAAGCCCAGGAAGGATGGGGGAGGCGGGTTAATCCTAGCACTGCCATACCATGCAAATAGATCAAGGGACACCACTGAACCCCAGTCCCTCTCTGCCTCTGCCTCAGTATTGCTGTCTAGCAGAATCTAAGCTAGGAACATGGTCTAATTATAAAGCCACTGAAAGTGCTAGGTTTTTAGAGTGTCATAGTTACTAGATGAATTACAAAACGCAATAAAAATCTTTTCTGGTTTCCCATGAACACCCAGAACCGACAACTCCTTTCCTATGAATCATAAAATAATAGCATAATAGAGCTTTTCAGAAGAGGATAATGAAACTCAGAAAAGTAAGGTGACTTGCCCAGGATCACATGATTAATGGAAGAGCCGGATGAACCGGGGCTTGAATGCGCAGTCCAGGGTGAAAGGCCATTACTACCCTTGTTAGAATCAACTCGTATCTTTGTTTTGAATGGAAGAGAAAAAAAAGCAATGTCCATGTTCCCTCCTTCCCCAAGGAAACCTGGGAAATTGGTAACTATAGCCTTCTCTTATGACTCCTCCTAGGGCTTACAGAGTGAAGCACCAAGCACACTGGGGATCCTTTCCTCTCAGTGATGTCATCCTTCACAAGATGGCGTGTGGCATGGAAGAGGAGTGGTTAAGGGCACAGACGTGGGCACCGACCAATCCTGGGTTTAAGCTTTTTTTTGAGCTGGAGTTTTGCTCTCATGGCCAGGCTGGAGTGCAATGGCGTGATCTCGGCTCACTGCAGCCTCCACCTCCTGGGTGCAAGCAATTCTCCTGCCTCAGCCTCCTGAGTATCTGGGATTACAGGCATGCACCACCATGCCCAGCTAATTTTGTATTTTTAGTAGAGACAGGATTTCTCCATATTGGTCAGGCTGGTGGTCTCAAACTCCCGTCCTCAGGTGGTCTGCCTGGCTCGGCCTCCCAAAGTGCTGGGATTACAGGCATGAGCCACTGCACCCGGCCAGCTTTGCTCTTTATTAGCTGCATGTGAATTTGATTACTTTACTTCTCTGAACCTGTTTTGGAAACATTAAACAAGAAATGTACCTAAAGCTTTTAATATACCGGCTCACACAGAGCAAGCATTCAGTAAATACCCACCACTATTAATTTTTTTTTTATCTGATCTAAGATGCAGTCTAGAAGCCCAGGCAAGAGCACAACAGACTCTGCATCCCCAGAGGTAGTCAGGCTCCTGGACACCGTCGGGCCCCTGCGCTAGTTCACGATCCATTTTGAGAAGTGAAATGCTCTCATTTCTCATCAGGCAATTGCCAGTTGAGGGACTGGTTTCCCACTGCTGTGCTGGAGCTCCTTTTTACCTGGGTCCTTTTCGGTCTCTTCAAAGGATGCAGCATTACACATGGAGCCTAAGAAAGAAAAAATGGAGCCAGGCCTGGAACAAGGCAAGAAACCAAGACTAGATAGTGTCACCAGCAGTGAGAGCTTTGCGAGCTCCGGGTTTCAGGAAGATAAAAGTCTGAGTGATGTTGAGGAAGAGGAGGGTAGGTATTAATTCCTTCCTGTCCTACGTGCCGAGATATTTTTACAACATACTGTGCATCTCTGAGATTTTTTTCTTATTTATCACTCTAATAAACATCCGTGGGAGACTCGAATGGTAATGTCCTGAGGAGATAAGATTTGAATTAAGATTATTTACAGAGTTACTAATTTTGACAGGGAACTGTACCGTTTTCTCCCCTCAGGCATTTTCATCCTAATGGATCATCCCCCTGCCCCCATGCTTGGATAAAATGGGCTGGAGGCCTGGAAAAAATCTCTGGTGTTCATGTTGAAACTCAAATACTCTTAAAAATGAACTCTGGTCTACTTGTTGGTTTGTTTTATGTTTTGCTAACATTGTTCCAATAAACTGGGATTTGGTGGGATAACAAGAGCCATTACAAACAGTTGCGGTTCTAATGCTTTCCAGATTCTGATGGTTTCTACAAGGAGCCCATCACTATGGAAGATCTGATTTCTTACAGTTTTCAAGTGGCCAGAGGCATGGAGTTCCTGTCTTCCAGAAAGGTCAGTCTTGCTGTTCACTGTTTTTCCTTCTTTGCCAGGGTTGGACGCACACCTTTGCTATAAATTCATTTTTCCTAGTATTTGCTGATACCTGTGTTCTTAAATGTAGAACAAACACCACTGCAAGTACCTTAATTTGCCCTGATATGAGGAGTTTTGAGAATGAGGAGTCGTGGATACCGGTGGATAGAACTTAATTCTGGGGAAAACTCACAGGTGTCAGACTAGACAAATCTGGTATCTGCTCTCCACAGTGCCCTCTGGCGTATTTTCAAATCTGGCCCAAATCGCAATACATGACTTCATCGGAGCGCTACTATTAATATAGCCATGTGGGGCCCTCCCACAAAACTGCAGCTGAAGAAAGATCTCATCTTGGCAGCTCAGGATAAAAGGCTGTGGGGCAAGTTTGCCCACTGGTAAATCTGAGATAACCAGCTTCACTGATCAAATAGTAGCCCAGGAGCTTCAGAACATGTCTTGACTTTGGGGCTTGGGGACCTGTACTTGTAGAGAGGCGCTTCATGTCTATGGTAGCAGTGTGCACTGAGAGGTGCTCCCTTCACAGCATGGGAAAGGGATTCCCAAATTAAGATTAATGACGCAGAGGTGTAGGAAATTAGTTGGTTAGGTTAAGAAAATGCATTGATTATGCAGCTGTTTTATTATAGTGCATTCATCGGGACCTGGCAGCGAGAAACATTCTTTTATCTGAGAACAATGTGGTGAAGATTTGTGATTTTGGCCTCGCCCGGGATATTTATAAGAACCCCGATTATGTGAGAAAAGGAGATGTAAGTCAGTTTGATGCTTATTTGACTCATTTATGTCCTATTACTTTTAAACAACAGACTTGGTAAATATTTACACTTCCTCAGCTGTAGTCCCTGAAAACCATCATTGGCTTTCTGTGAAGACAAGCAGTCCAGAGGAGCGGCATCCCAGAGAGCCCTTGTGTAAGGCTCAGAAAGGCCACTTATCTCCTGGTTCTGCTCTCCCCTAATGCCTGGCCTGCCACCTGTCCTTTGGGCAGCGCTGCGTGAGACTTGCTAACCTGAGAAGTGTTTGGTGGGGCCTGGGTGAGACCTTAGCATTACCTTCCTTTGAATCCTGGGGAAATTCCTTGTACCACTGAAAAGAACAGCCTGGACTCTTTCCCTCAAATAAACCCGGGTGATTGATTCAGCAGGTGTATCTGTCTCAGGAAAGGGCGGGGAAGACTGTCAGCAGTAGCTGACTATGAAGGAGACTGTTTACTTCCCATGGCCTTCCATGCCTAGCATCTCTCTGCTGGCTCGCACTGGCTTCTCTTCCCTGCTTGTTTTCAGACATAGTGTTATTTTTCACTTTTGTAGGTGACGTCCCATGTCCTCCCTTCTCCAGCCTATATACCCTGAGGGTTAAGCTTGTGTCTGGGCACCAGTGAGTTACAGTAGTGGTTCTCAACTTAATTGAACATACATATCGCCTAGAAGGCGTGTTATGCTACAGTGTGCTGGCCTAACAAGCCTTCCACCCCCCAGAGTTTCTGAGTCAGTGAGTCTTGGGTGGAGCCTGAGAATTTGCGTTTCTAACCAGTTACTACACCAAGGGTGTCCAATCCTTTGGCTTTCCTGGGCCACATTGGAAGAAGAATTATCTTGGGCCACACATAAAATACACTAACAATAGCTGATGGGCTAAAAAAAAAAAAAAAAAAAAAAATTGCAACACTTCTCATAATGTTTTAAGAAAGTTTACGAATTTGTGTCAGGCTGCATTCAAAGCTGTCCCGGGCCACATGTGGCCTGCGGGCCAGGAATTGGACATGCTTGTTCTAGAAGGTGCTGACATAGCAGGTCCTAGGACCATACTTTGAGAGCCACTGCACTACAATCTGTTTGTATAGAAGCAAAACATACGACTTCGCATTGACCCTTTGTAAAAGTAAAAGAAAATAAAGGAAAACAAACTTTCCTTGGGGCCCTGGTCTGGAGAGATGGCATCAACCTTCATGTTAGTCCACCCCTCCTTTCTGTTCATCTGTATCTGAGTCAGCCTCCCTGCCCCTCCCACTTCCTTTCTCCTTGTCTCTCCTTTATCCCATACTTCCCATCAGTCCCCATCATCTAAAGTGGTGAGGCCTAACTCACTGGGATTCCTGCTATCTGAAAAAGAGGAAGATTTGTCTACATGCTTGAAAACCAACTGTATATTCTCTTTCAACACTGACTTCTTTCCTTCTTCTCTTCTTTCTGATGCTTTTGCACACTCTTCCTATTCAGTGACTTTTGAAATCTTGTCTTTTTGCATAGGAATGCTTTTAAAATCCTCCTTCTTGGGAAAAATTTTTAGAGATCACCACCATTTTTCGGGATATCTTCAAATTCAGATCACTTTTCCTTTTCCAAGCCCTGAGCGTCCCTGTGGAGTGCAAGCTTTCTTTGTGGGGGAGGATTTCTCACAGAGCCATGCAGTTAAGGACATGCCGAACACATCAGAGGGGCTTACTGAACATGTACTGCCTTCATTGGACTCAGTATAGCACTCTAGCTCCCTCTTTTAGTGTAACACTGCATACTACGGTGTTCTCTATGTTAGAAACCAGAACTGCTCTAGGAAATGATTTATGGGCCATATGCTATCTGGGAGGTGACCCCATGGGCACTTGGGTTGAATGTGCTTTGTTTTCATGCCCTTCTGCTCAAGGCCCCTTTGCCCTCTTCCAGACTCGACTTCCTCTGAAATGGATGGCTCCTGAATCTATCTTTGACAAAATCTACAGCACCAAGAGCGACGTGTGGTCTTACGGAGTATTGCTGTGGGAAATCTTCTCCTTAGGTAAATTTGGGAGAAGGAAGAGATCAAACAGCCCAGAAATAAATGTCTGCATCTTCTGCTGAATGTCCTTTGGCTAGATAGCCTTTAGATTAGCTCCTACTGTAACAAAAACTCTTAGGGTGCCATGGGTCCATGTAGACTCTCAGATGAGTAATGGCATATGTTTGTCTGCCCTCTACTGTAAAAGGGCTTTATACGATCACGAGCAAGGTCAGATGGGTATAAAGTCTGAAGTCGGGTTTATCTTTTTCTGTACTTTTTCCAATTCTGTCCTTTTCCAATTCCTCAACACGCACACCTCTAACGCCCTTACCCGTTCCCTCCCCGCATCTCCCACCACCTCAAAATTTCTTCCTAGGAAAGGCCATAGTAAGCCCAGCTAACCCAGTGAGGAAAGGGCTGTTAGAAACAGGAGACCTTTCCAGGGCCTCTGATATTAACACATGATACGGCTCTGGACACCGGATTATACAGGATGAGCAGTAAAGAACACTGGTTGTATTTATTCTGCTTGCAAAAACATCCACTATGGGCGGCTAGAAGCCCTGTTCAAAGCACACAGATGCGTGCAGAGCCCACATCTGCTTGCAGACACACAGTGATGATCTGAGGCCTCCAAAACCCAAGTTCTAGCCAAGAGTCTTCTGGGCTTTGCCAAAAATTTGCCTTTCACAGCAAATAAAAGTCACCCAGTAACATCCCTGGTTTCCTGTAATGTGTGAAAATCATTCCCCTGCTTTCGATGACAGGCACCTGTTGCTTCCAGTCTTTGAAAGCAGCTTGGCGGCTGCAGTGGCCCCACAATGACACAGTGCCAGCACTGCACGTCTCCCAGCTGCTTCCTACCAGCAGTAATCACTAGAAAGTGCAGACAAACAAATGCTGAGGTAGATGAGGCTCAAGGGCTAGAACAAGAGTGCATTAGAAGGCCTTGCCACCCCCAGTCCTGGCAAGAATCCCCCTAAAAGGAAAGGTTGTAGGGGAATCCTGGGCAGTAAAACCGGCAGAAGGCAAAGCCTAGGCCTCTTAGGTCTCTGGTTCTCTTAGGTCTGCAGACTCCTGACCACGGGCAGCCCCCACCCCACTCCACTCCATTCAGCCCAGCCCTGGAGCCCAAAGCCCCCCTTCCCTCAGGCCTGTCACAACTCCTAGAGCCCTGGTACTGTAGGAAGTTTGCAAGAGAGTGAATTAAAGTCATTCCCACTCAAGTGTGAATGATTCCCATGTAGCCTATCCCAAATCTATTGGCGTTTTAAAAAGAAGCCTAAGCCAAGTGCCGTGATGGTGAGGACCTGGAGTCCCAGCTGCTCTGGAGGCTGAGGCAGGAGACTTGCTTGAGCCCAGGAGTTCGAAGCTGCAGTGAGCTAAGATCATGCCACCACACTCCAGCCTGGTGACAGAGGGAGACCCATCTCTTAAAAAAAAAAGAAAACTCGCTAACCCAAAGGCTGAGTCTCTAATGATGGGACTTCTTTAGAGTTACTTGTGGGGAGAAGACCAGGACCCTTCAGACGACACCTCTTCCTCTGACCACACAGGCAGGAGTAGCCATAGGAATGGCCTGTGGGCACCAGCCCCACACCATGTGACCACCCAACCAAGCGGGTGTCCTTAGCAAGGACTCGCTGAGCTTCTCTGTGTGTTGTACTGTCCATTGAGATCTGTTGTAATCACTGGGAATTTATTACTAAAACATCACTTTAAAGGGAGGAAAGAAACACTGAATTGTCCCCTCTTGGTCTTTTGTACCCTGAAGCCATAATAGGCCGTGTGTTTTCCACATTGTCTCCCACAGGCGGGTCTCCATACCCAGGAGTACAAATGGATGAGGACTTTTGCAGTCGCCTGAGGGAAGGCATGAGGATGAGAGCTCCTGAGTACTCTACTCCTGAAATGTGAGCCCTTGGTGCCCTCCGCTCCCCATCTGACAGCTCGCTTTTCACCAGGGCATCCCTGAGAGGGGATGTTTCATGGATTCTTAGAGTCCCAGTCTTGGAAGATGCCAAGGTTCTTCTTTCCTTTAGAGATGCTCCCCTCAGCCCGTCAGGCCCAGATATTTTGGGAGCATTTTCTTACAGTGGGGCACATGGCCCTTGACCCATCCCTGCCTATTTCCTCTCCTGACCACTGACGTGACTTTTCAAGGGCTCTAGCTGGGAACTGAAGTTAGAAATTTAGTTTCTAGGTATGAATCCAGGCAAAACAAACAGGTCACCTAGGAACTGAATGCAAGACCTTGGCCTCACTCACAGAGTGGGAGCCAAACAGGCCTAGCAGCCCTAGGGATGGAGAGCCAGACCTTGATCTTGTGACCATTCCTATATCTGCACAGAACGCCCATGAAGGGGTTGATGTGGTCTGCAGAAGAGGTCTTGGAGAGGAAAAGGGGAACTTCCTGACATCATGATTATGCTTCACAGAAGGCTTTGCGGGCAATACAAGTTCCTTAGAATCCTTTAGGAGGAATAGGGGCCGGGCGTGGTGGCTCACATCTGTAATCCCAGCACTTTGGGAGGCAGAGGTGGGCGGATCACTTGAGGTCAGGAGTTCAAGACTAGCCTGGCCAACATGGTGAAACCCCGTCTCTACTAAAACTACAAAAGTTAGCTGGGCCTGGTGGCAACTGCTTGCGAGGCTGAGGCATGAGAATCACTTAAGCCCAGGAAGCAGAGATTGCAGTGAGCCAAGATCACGCCACTGCACTCCAGCCTGGGTGACGACAGAGTGAGACTGTGTCTCAAAAAAAAAAAAAGAATCCTTTAGGAATAGGCCCAGCAGCTGTCTGGAGCTGCCTGGTCACATGGCTTTTCGGGGTGTCCCTGTGAGGCTTTCTCCACTGTGCAAATTGCACTTGCTTGCCTCTCTTGGACACTCTTTTTTTCCTGGGGATTTGTGGATGTTTTGCACTTTGAGGCCTGAGCAGGAATGTGATGACACTTGCACTTTTGTGGAGCTGCTGACAAGGACTTGGGCCTCCCTGAGGCGGCACCACCTTTCCTGAACTGGCAGGGGCCCTCCCATTCCACCCACACAATGGGGTCCTGTCAGAAGCACTGGCTGGCCTTTGAGAAGGAGTCAGGGAATGCAGGAAGTGTGGGCTTGGCCAAAGGGCAAAGTCGCTGTCTCTTTCCTTCATCATCTCGGGGTAAGGGTAGGTCAGGCCCAGAATGGGGAACTGGAGAGGTGGACGGAAGACTCAGGCCCAACAGCAGGGCTGGGTAGCTCTGCCCAAGCATAGGGAAGCGGGAAGGGACCTGTTCTTGTCACTGGTGCATGGTGTCCTCATCAGAAAAGTACAGGGAGCTGAGGCAAGGCCTGTTTCTGAGAGCTAGGGATAGAGCTGGATGATTAACTTTATGATTTTCTAATGTTTTCCCACATATAGTCTCATTTGAAGTTCCCAGAGACCTTGAGGGGTGGTCAGGGCAGCTATTATAATCTGAATTTAGCAAGTAATGAAACCGAGATGCCAAGACCTGAAGCAATGTGCTGTCTGTCAGCTGAGAAGCAGAGGAGACATTCAGAACCCAAGCCTCCGGACTGATGTCGCTAGACCACAGGGGCTGTTGAATTAGGAACAGACCCCACAGTCCTCAGAAGAAATGCTTCTCTGATACGGCCACTCATGCTTTGAATTAAATATGTCCTTCCAATCTTCACATAGTCTGAAAATCTCAAGAGTAGGCTCTCAATTACTACTAATAATTGTTATTATTAAATAACAAGATTTTTACATCAAAATAAATGCAAAACAGTATGAAATTAATTTTTATTTTTACTTCCGTATAAATTCTAAATAGTATGAAATTAGTTTAGTTGGGTTTTTTTGTTTGTTTGTTTTTTTGAGATAGTGTCTCGCTCTGCTGTCCAGGCTGGAGTGCAGTGACGTGATCGCAGCTCACTGCAACCTCCACCTCCTGAGTTCAAGTCATGCTTCTTCCTCAGCCTCCTGAGTTGCTGGGACTATAGGCATGTGCCACCATGCCTGGCTAATTTTTGTATTTTTTTGTAGAGATGGGGTTTCTCCATGTTGGCCAGGCTGGTCTCAAACTCCTGAGCTCAAGTGATCCACTGGCCTTGGACTCCCGAAGTGTTGGGATTACAGGAGTGAGCCTCCATGCCTGGCCTGAAACTAGTTTTTATTATAACAGTATTGAATAATACTGATTAAATATTTATTTGGTTCTTATAAGTGCCACTATTTTAAGCATTAATTTATTTAATGCTCATAACAGTCCTATAAAGTAGGACTACCATGATTTCCATTTCACAGATGAGAAAACAGGCACCGCACATGTAAGTGATTTGCTCAAGGCTGCACTGGTAATAACTTCAGCGAATTCAGCCTGAGTCCAGAGACCACAGCACCATCCCACACCCCTGCAGAGTGCGCTTCCCGTTCATACCCAGGCTGTGGTCGGAAATAACTCAGAGGTACAAAGTCACATCAGCTTTGGACCAAAAATTGCCTTGGACTTGCTCAAACCTTCAAGTCTTTACATAAACCTCACTCAGGTAGCTCCCTTGCCTCGAGCGACCTAGAGAGAGTGGTATGGTTCCTTAATTCTGAGGAGGGAGAGATTTTAGACATTTTAAAAAGTAAGAAGCTCTGGTGAAATACTTCTTCAGAAGGCCAGACTTCAAACCTTCAGACATTTTCTCAAGCATGTGAAAGCTGATGGAGTAATTTCCTTCTTGTTTGTTCTAACAGTAGGAAGGGCTGGGTGAGGACCAAGTGCAGCTTCTCAGAACTGGGATTCTGTGATCTGAACTTGGCGTAAAGCGGTGTGTATTTGGGAACTTGGGTGATAGCTTGGAAAGAAAACTTCCTGGAGGCCCCTCGTCCCCAGCTTGGATGCAAACTAATGTCTCTTAACTTTACTAAACCTATTTACTTAGTGGCACAGAATCTTGTAACATTGAGTTGTTGGTTCCTTGCCCAGATACTGTTGAATCAGATGTCCTTCAATAAGGGAATAAGCAATGAATTTTTTGATTTTGTTTTTTCTTTTCCTTTGGTGTTTGCTGAGATGATTCACATTGGATTTTAGGCAAGAAGAGTGGAAACTAAAAATCGGAATCCAAGAGTCAAAAGTAAAAAACAGCAAGTGGTTGTAGATGGTTCCGTTTACAAGTGTCAGCAGGGAAATCAGGGAGTGTCCTGCTCAGGATGGTGCCTCTCCCAGACAGCAGCTTGATCCTGTGGGGAGACGATGGTGCGGGAGGAGACGAGCCCACAGCCTCTACCTGAAGGCCTCTCTTTGGAGCCCAGCCTCAACCTCACAGGCTCAAGTGATCCTCCCGCCTCAGCCTCCTGTACTACAGGGACTACAGGCGTGCATCACCATGCTTGACTAACTCTTCTATTTTTTGTGGAGATAAAGTCTCGCTATGTTGTCCAGGATGATCTTGAACTCCTGACTTCAAACAATTGTCCCACCATGGCCTCCCAAAGCATTGGGATTATAGATGTTAGCCACCACACCTGGATTCTTTTTTTTTTTTTTTCTTTTTCTTACCTTCCTGTAGTCTTACTGCGTTTGGCAGCCACCTCATATACTTTGAAACAAAATAGGAATATACTTAAGAGATATCTAGAGCCATTGGCACCCCCTAAAGGCATACCTCTAAGAAGTGTCCGAGGGAGGCTATGAACTGGGGTTTCTCCCAGCACAAGCACAGCTGTACTGTCTGCAGTACAGCGGAAGAATTCACAGAAGGAGCAGAGTCATCTCTTCCCGGAGACGAGTCTGACTTCTTTTAGCAGATATTTATTGCTCTGGGGTAGGCGAGAGGTGTGGAAATGAGGCCCTGCCCACACAGTGCTTACAACCTGATGGGTGGGAATCAAATTCGGGGCCCATTCAGATTTGAGTGTGACTCAGAGTCCTTTTTTCATCCAGGCCATCTTCTGAGAGAAGAGGTAATGTATAATAAACATCCCTTGAAGAGCGCAAGGTTCAAGGAGAATCAGTTCTTAATGCAGTGCGTGTATGGACCTCTGGCCTGTGCTTTTCAGAGAGGGCGGTAGGTGCAGACCTCGAGTCCATGCAGACATGCCCAAGAGAGGAGCCTGATGCCGTTATATCTAAAATGTAAAGAAGAGGCTGGGCGTGGTGGCTCATGCCTGTAATCCCAGAACTTTGAGAGGCCGAGGCTGGTGAATAGTTGAGGCCAGGAGTTCGAGACCAGCCTGGCAAACATGATAAAACCCCATCTCTACTAAAAACACAAAAATTAACCAGGCGTGGTGGTGGGCGCCTGTGATCCCAGCTACTCGGGAGGCTAAGGCAGGAGGATCACTTGAACCTGGGAGGCGGAGGTTGCAGTAAGCTGAGATCATGCCACTGCACTCAAGCCTGGTCGACAGAGCGAGACTCTGCATCAAAAATAATAATAATAATAATAATAATAATAATAATAAAACGTAAGAGAAGAATTGCAGAGGAATCTGTTGACATTGGAATCCCAGGACAAGATTTGACCTCTGTGCTATTAGGACAAATGTTTCCTATCCAGGTGCCCAGGCTGTACTGTGTGCCTTGAGTGGTGGGAGGCCAGTTTGTAACAGCGGCTCTGCGGTGCTGGGGGAGAATGATCAGCTGCACACAGGAACCTTGCTCACAGCCCCAGAAACCCCACACTGGGGCTTCAGCTTCTGGAAGTGACGCAGTCATGTACACAGGACCTTCCCCACTGGTCTCCACTGCTTAGTCCATCAAGGGAAGTGTGAGGACTTGGAAATGCCACATGCTTTTTAAGAAGCTAAACCAACCTTTGTGACAACCCAAGAATGAAATAAGTACTACAAACTATTCGGCCACTGATATTTATGGCTGTATGACCTTTTTTTTTTTTTTTTTTTAAACTTAAAGGACATTGTCCTGCTTCTGAAAGTGCAGGGAGGAGTACTCCACTTCACACTGAACTGCAGTGAGCAGTGGGGTTTCCTTTCTGAATAGCTGTGTTTCAGTCACAGAACTCAGACTTTCCACCTGCAGAGGCCACAGGCACAACAAAGAACCTGGGTACCCATGAGCTCTGGAGGGTTGGTTAGTCTGTCTTGGTAGACGTGTTTTCCACTGACAGCAGGACCTGGCCCAGACAGCCTTTTAAGTGCTGGTGCTATAAACCAAACCTCAGAATGAAACAGGGTCACCTAGTATACAGAACGCTTGGTCTTTATGCGGATGACAGCCCTCCCTTTGCAGTACGTAAGGCAATGCATAGGATGATCACTGCTCTCCAGCTACTTCTGTTGCTGTTTTCCCCACCAGCTATCAGATCATGCTGGACTGCTGGCACAGAGACCCAAAAGAAAGGCCAAGATTTGCAGAACTTGTGGAAAAACTGGGTGATTTGCTTCAAGCAAATGTACAACAGGTAACACGAAATTTATCTACATCTAAATGCCTTTGAGTGTACATCGGGGGGCATTTTATTTGTTTTTTTAAGCGCTATTAATAGAATAGCTGAGATGAGAAGTTTTAAAAAAGTGTGTGTGTGTGTGTGTGTGTGTGTGTACAGAATTGTCTTCTCAAAACACAACCAAGATTGTGCGAATGACAAATCAAAGTTGACATAATGGTTCGTAGAAATTGTTGAAGTCAGAATTGATGCAATGAGAGCTCTATCTTCGGTATTTTAGGATGGTAAAGACTACATCCCAATCAATGCCATACTGACAGGAAATAGTGGGTTTACATACTCAACTCCTGCCTTCTCTGAGGACTTCTTCAAGGAAGGTATTTCGGCTCCGAAGTTTAATTCAGAAAGCTCTGATGATGTCAGGTAAGATTTCTTTCTCAAACTTTATATCACAGAATTTTCCAACAAAAAAAAAGAAGGAAAAAGAAAGAAGGAAGGAGGGAAAGAAGGAAGGAAGGTGTGAAGGAAGGAAGGAAGGAAGGAAAAAGGAAGAAAGAAAGATTGTGTAGTGATCATCACCCATATGCCCATCCCCTAAATTCAACTGTTGTTAACATTTTGCCCTATTTTGTCTATTATACGCTCTATGATTGTGTTTGTTCTGAATTTTTCTTTTTGCTGAATCATTTAAAAGGAGGCTTAAGTCATAATAGCACTTTACTCCTAAATACTTTGGTATACATTTTGGAAGAAGGCTATTATTGCTGGGCACAGTGGCTTGTGCCTGTAATCGCAGCACTTTGGGAGACTGAGGTGGGAGGATCACTTGAGCCTAGGAGTTCAAAATCTGTCTCGGCAACATAGAGAGACCTTGTCTTACTAAAAATAAAAAAATTAGCCGGGTGTGGTGGTGTGCACCTGTAGTCCCAGCTACTCAGGAGGCTGAGGTTGGAGGATCACTTGAGCCCGGGAGATGGAGGCTGCAGTGAGCTATGATTGCGTGACTGCACTCAAAGAAGGACATACTCCTGTGTAAACCACACCAAAATTATCACACCAAATAAATTCCTTAATGCCATCTAATAGTCAAATTTCCATAATTTCACCTGTCTTTACATCTTTTTTAAAAAAGCAGGATCCAATTAAGAATAACAGATTACATTTTCTTAAGTTTCTTGTCTATCTTATTCTAGAACCTTACCCCATCTTTTCTTTTCCCCACGACATTGAATTTTTTGGTGAAACCTTAGATAAAACTAAACAAACAAGGCGAGCTGTGTTTTCATTTGTTTTGCTTTGTTTTGACCTAACAAATGAATCTATCCCGTATTACTGCAGAGGGAACTGGAGAAGGGGCAAGGCAAGGGAACAGATATGTACTGTGGCCACTGCTGGCCCCGGGGCCTGACTTCAGGACTGATAGTTACGCATGCATGAAACCTGGGCAGGGCTGATGGTTACACAGACACGTGCTGGGTCTGGCACGGTGCTAGGCTTTTTCCATCTATCAACTCCTTTTACGCTCAGAGCAGTCTTGGGAAGAACATATCATTCCTGTTACATAAATGGAGACCTTAAGGCTCCCAGGAGGAAGGCTTGCAGAAGCTGTGTAGCTAGAAAGTGGCAGAATAGTTTTCTAACCCAGGAGTTCTGACCCTCCCTCCCTGTACCCAATGCAGTCAGGACTCCTTTTAGGGCTTCCAGACCGTGCTATGGACCTCTAGCATCTCTCTTTGCAGTAAGCACAGCTCTCTGGCTCTGACCTCAGTTCAGCCACCAGGGAAGATATGGGAAGGAGCTGCAGCAGTCAGAAAATACTGCTCACAGCCGGGCACAGTGGCTCACGCCTGGAATCCCCCCAGCACTTTGGGAGGCCGAAACGGGTGGATCACCTGAGGTCAGGAGTTCAAGACCAGCCTGGCCAACATGGTGAAACCCCGTCTCTACTAAAAATACAAAAATTAGCTGGGTGCAGTGGCATGCACCTGTAGTCCCAGCTACTCGGGAGGCTGAGGTAGGAGAATCACTTGAACCAGGGCGGCGGAGGTTTCAGTGAGCTGAGATCGTGCCACTGCACTCTAGCCTAGGTGACAGAGCAAAACTCTGTCTCCAAAAAAAAAGAAAAGAAAAAAGAAAATACTGCTACCCACCTGTGACAGGACTCAAAGAAACCCAGTGGCACATCCAGACTAGTGGTGATGGATTACAGGTCAGCCTCACTGTTCAGGCCTCACAACCAGCCCAAGAGGCTGAAGCAGATGAGTCATCATTTTGTGAAGTTGGGAAAACTAGTTCGGATTAAATAAATTGGCAAGGTCTGGCTGCATTAGAGAGAGGGAGGGGAGGGGTGGGTGGCATGTCAGTTATATGTGGACCCTTCTAAGGGGGCTTAGCCTTAGGCCAGTAGGGAGCTTGCCCATGACACTGGGACTGGCAGAGAGTGACAGAGTATGGGACTGAGAAATTCAGTCAGTAGGTGAACTTGCCTTGTGAGTAACCACAGAGTGGATGTCTCCAATAGTCCTTCCTAATAGATCATCAACAAAAGTCAGTAGGTAGTTATAGAGACATCATACAACCCTACCCAATTCTCCCAATCTGTAATCACAGAAAACATATGCAAGCCTGGCGCTAGCACTCAATTATGCCATTAAATAATATTTAGCCATGTAGCCATGCCAGGTCATTCTGCCGCCTCACATCCTTTTCGGAGTACCTGCTAAAGTCCTATCGCTTCCCTGCACATCATTTCTCTCCTGCGCCATTGGGCACTCAGACCAGATGATGCCTCCAGGCTCTCCTAGGCCTGACATTCTCTGATTTCACAACGGACCCGAGCAGGTCCCTCTGGGAGTTTCCTCAACACGACAGAATGTGAATTGACAACCATGGGAGGCAGTGGCAATGCCGCCAAGATTCCCAGGGGTCACAGCGGGGAGATTGGGGCCTCAGGAGTTAGGTGATTCCTGTTGGTGTGTTGGTTCCTCTTAGCTAGGATAGGTTGCCTGTGGTCTCCTGACTCATTACAGCTGAATGCCTTTTCCTGTCTTGATAATTCTTTGTTTCTTCTTTAGATATGTAAATGCTTTCAAGTTCATGAGCCTGGAAAGAATCAAAACCTTTGAAGAACTTTTACCAAATGCCACCTCCATGTTTGATGTAAGTCATGAAGTTAAGGTACCCAGTGCACGCTGGCAGACCCCTTCTTCAGATCCCTTCCAGACACCAATGCCAGTAGTGTGGTAGCTCTTGGTCAGCGAGCAGCTGGATTCAGGAGTGGCTGAAATGACAGTGTTGGGAGGACTGACAACTAGACCTAGCTGTGCAGAGCTAATTTGAAAGCAGAGTTCCATGAACTCACTCCAGGACCCAAGTCCCTGCGTGGTAGGAATTTAGACCCTTAGGAAACTCCTTTGTGTATTTCTAAGCTGCTTAGCTGTCAGCGATGCAGCTTTGCTTTCAGAGTAACAGAGGAACTCCCAGCTGTGTGGGTGGTGGCCTTTGTGATGTAAGGGAGAGCCTCCTGCAAGCAGCCTTGAGGCGGGGAGGGGTCCACCCAAGCCTTATGCTCCTTTCTCCTGAGGCTCTGCAGGTTGAACGGCCGTGTTCCTACCCAGCCACACTGGGAGAAGCCAACCAGTATAGCCTGGCAAACAAGAGGCCTCACCAGCTCTTCTCTCTAAAGCCCAGTGATGTGGGGTTGAGGGGCTAAGGGGAGGAGAGGAGGATGGGCAGGAGCGATACTGCAGTTCTGATGTTGCAGCCTCTGGGACTCAAAGTGTGATCTCCAGATAGGCAGGTTCCTACAACCTAGGAGCCGGCTAGAAATGCCAACTCTCAGCACCCACCCACACCCACTGAGTCAGGTGCGCCTTGGCAAGATCCCTAGGGGATTCCTGGACACATTAACGTTTAAGAAGTGCTGGTGAGGCCGGGCGCGCTGGCTCATGCCTGTAATACCAGCACTTTGGGAGGCCGAGGCAGGTGGATCACGAGGTCAGGAGATCGAGACCATCCTGGCCAACACGGTGAAACCCAGTCTCTACTAAAAACACAAAAAAATTAGCTGGACGTGGTGGCGGGTGCCTATAGTCCCAGCTACTAGGGAGGCTTAGGCAGGAGAATGGCGTGAACCTGGGAGGCGGAGCTTGCAGTGAGCCGAGATCATGCCACCGCACTCCAGGCTGGGCAACAGAGCGAGACTCTCTCTTAAAAAAAAAAGAAGTCTGGCAATGACTATGTCCCATAAAGGGCCTGCAAGGCCAACAACAGTGTGAAGGTGATCACTACAATCAGTGTGGCCTTGAGGCAGGCACAGTCATCCTTAAAAAAAAAGAAACACCACAACCTTATCGGACACACCAGATAAAGGGAAAGATTATTTTAAATATTTTAAGCATCAAAAATAAGCTGAAGAATATAAAAGTAAAGTATATGGATATATTGTTTGGCTGCTTGGTACATTGTTTTCAAGGCCGAGGGAAAAATACTGAGCAAAACGTGAAAGAATTCTCAACCTTCACCCTCCAACCCTAAATCAGTGGTGAATGATGACAGCTTCTTTGTTTGCTTAGGTGTTTACTCATAATTAAGGACACTGCCCCGTAAGAGTCTTAAAGGGTGGCAGGAACAAAGTGTGGGATCCGCTTACTGGAACATGCCGTATTAACAAAGTAGTGAAGAGTCTGCAGGCAACTCAGTGCCAAAGAGAAACCAACAAGGAAATCTAATTGCTGGAGACTATAACCAAGGGGTGGGGGGTGGGGGCTGAGAATTCCATCAAGTTTAAGAAAAAAAATCAAACCATGTCTTTAGGATTTCTTAGAATTCGTGTCTATGGTGGCCACCGCTACTATGGCATACTCATAGTCAATCGCGATCTGCCAAATTAGTTTTAGTATCTTTATGCGATAAGTTGCATCATAGTTTACTGTGGAAAATGTTAACCTGTTACTTGCCATTTTCCCTTTTGCTTAAATGTATTTACTTCGTGTTCAGGAAGGGCCTCAAAGTCACTGGGGATCAGACATGATTTGCAGCGGGTCAAGTTTGTAGTGACCAACTTAGAGAAAATGCTTTGTCTCAATAGGCGGGGATTGTGGAGGGTGAGGCAGAGCCTGGATCAACAGATGCATCCCAGGATCATCCCTCAGGCTCAGCATGGACTCCCGCTGGGCCAGGCAAAACTATCACCTTTCTCCTTCTCCCCGTAGGACTACCAGGGGGACAGCAGCACTCTGTTGGCCTCTCCCATGCTGAAGCGCTTCACCTGGACTGACAGCAAACCCAAGGCCTCGCTCAAGATTGAGTAAGCATCGGGTATCTTTTCTGTGATCAGTCGATGGAGGGTACGAGGGGAGATGCTGGGGATAGGTGGTGTAATGAGGGATGTTTGAGGACTACTTGCCCTCCTGCACTATAGTGTTCAGGCGTTGCAGAAAAACATTTCCCCCCAGAGGGCAAAAAAAGGGGAACATCAAATGGGACATATGAGCACCAAGCTCTGGGGAAAACGTGCAGAAAATCTTGCAGACAGGCATTCCAGACGTGGGAAGCACAGTGCCTCAGGGAAAGAAGCCTGATGTGCCCACCTGTGCATGGCGCAGAGGGAGACACGCTCCCGGCGGTGGGAGAGGACGCCCCCGCTGTTACTCCCTATGCCGGCAGGGCTGATACATGAGGAGTCCCAGTACTGTTTTCCAGGGCTAAGACCTGCAGCCTGAGAACTCAGCCCCTACAGATGAATGACTTTCCCACTTCATCCTGGCACCCTTTTCTCACTTGACAATTTCTCCACGAAGCCCTGGCTTGACCAGTCCACCAGCTCCTCCCTCCACGCCGTGGCCACCACTGTCAGGAGTCTTATGCACCACCAAATGCCGCTGCAGCTTCTCTGTGCGAGTCGCTACCTCGCAACGGTGTTGGACTGGGAAAAGCTGCGCCTGTCGGATGTTCCTTCCTTTCCTCGTTCAAATGCCTGTTCCCTGTCTCACCCGAAGGCAGAACCTGCTCCTCTTTCACCTGAATCCGGGGTGGGCAGCCATTTTTTTAAAGGGCTAGATAGCACATGTTCCCTACTGCCATTAGCAGGGGTGTCCAATCTTTTGGCTTCCCTGGGCCACAATGGAAGAATTATCTTGGGTTACACATAAAATACACTGACACTAATAATAACCGATAAGCTAAAAAAGTTGCAAACAAATCTCATAATGTTTTAAGAAAGTTTACGAGTTTGTGTTGGGCCGCATTCAAAGCCATCCTGGGCTGCATGCAGCCCGCGGGCCACAAGTTGGGCAAGCGTGCATTATAGTATAAAAAGCAGCCGTAGACAGTACATCATCAAGAAGACACGGCTCTGTTCCCACACACTGTATTTATAGAAACAGGTGAGCATGGCCAGCGAGTACATGAAAAGATGCTCAACATCATCAGTCATTAGGGAAATACAAATCAAGACTACCATGAGGGGCTGGTCGTGGTGGCTCATGCAGTAGTCTCAACACTTTGGGAGGCCGAGGTGGGTGGATCACTTGAGTCCAGGAGCAACATGGCAAAACCCTGTCTCTACTAAAATTTCAGAAATTAGCTGGGCGTGCTGGCATGTGCCTTTAGTCCCAGCTACTTGGGAGGCTGAGGTGGGAGGATCACTTGAGCTTGGGAGATTGAGGCTGCAGCGAGCCACAATTGCAGCACTACACTCTAGCCTGGGTGACAGAGGGATAAAAAAAGGGAAAGAGATTACCATGAGATACCACTTCACACCCATGAGGATAGCTAGATGAAGTCAGTGTGGCGAGGATATGGAGAAATTGGAACCCTCCTACACTGCTGGTGGAAATGTTAAATGGCACAATCACTTTGGAAAACAGTTTAGCTGTTGCCCTAAAAGGTTAAACAGTTACCCCGAGACTCAGCAATTCAACTCCTAGGCATATACTCAAGAGAAATGAAAACTGATATCCACAGCAAAACTTGCATACAGATGTTCATAGCAGCATTACTCATAATCGCCAAAAGTAGAAACAACCAAAATATCCATCAGTTGATGACTAAATGAATAAAATATGGTATATCCACACAATATAAATTGTCAATAAAAAGTATGCAGTATGCATGCATGTTACAACCTGGATGAACCTTGAAAATATTACGCTCAGTAAAAGCAGTCATAAAATATCTCATATTGTATGAGTCCTTCTATATGAAATGCCCAGAATTGGTAAATCTGGAGGCAGAAAGTAGACCAGTAGTTTCCTTGGGCTGGAGCTGGAGGGTGTGAGGAGCAAAGACTGCTAATGGGTATGAGTTTTGGGGGGTGGTGGCAGCTCTCAAGTTGATTATGGTGATGTTTGCACAACTTGTGTCGATACAAAAAACCATTGGCTTACACACTTTAAATAGGTGAATTATGCAGTATGTAAATTATATCTCCAAAAAGCTCTCATTAAAAAAAAAAACACCAGCCAGGTGGGCAGATATGGGTTATAGTTTTTGAACCCTGATCTAAATCAAAGAATGGCAACAAGTGCCTCCAAGTGATGTAGTTAGCACAGTTCATCGACCACAAGTAAATGGGAAAGACAGGGGCATTTCCAGGCAAACATCTGTGTGTGTGTTTCCTTTTCACATGAGCACAATGGTATTAGAATTGAGTTACAGCCCATCAGAGGCACCAGTGAGGAATGAATGGATCAAAGGGGAATGTAGGATACATGCTGTTTTGTTTCCTACTTTGGAACACCTCAGAAAATGGGTGGTGACTAATTTTATCTAGATATTTGTTAAAGAAAAACATAAACCATAAATTGTATCCTCTACTCTGAGACTGAAAATATAGAACATGGACATGTTAGTCCAGACCAGTCTAAAACATGCTTCACGGGTTCCCTTCCTCATCCCAGATCCCTTGAAAATAAAAAATTCAAACGAATATTAAAGGGCAAGAGCAGCCCTTCCTCCTCAGGTGTCTGTCCTAGTCTGGGTATAACGTAGAGGACCCAGAAGCAAGTTTCTCCACCCTTGAGCCTTGCTGGTGACAAGTAGCACCATAACTAAAAGTGTTTCCTCTTCTAGAACACAGGCACGATAGGGAGAGGGGCGCTCACCTGTGTGTGTGAAGCTCTATTGTTTTCTGAGACTGTTGTAACAAATTGGCACTAACTTGGCAACTTACAAGAGAAATTTATTCTCTTGCAGTTCTGGAGGCTAGAAGGGAGATAAAATATGAAAAATGTGAATATTTTGGAGGGCAGGAGGCATTTCTCAGCCTACCACAGAAGCTGTTTGACCCGAGAATAGGAGAGGGCTGCACCCAGGTCTTGGAGTTACTTTCCACCCGGATTATGGGTTTGCGTTATCTTAGCAGACATCTCACACCCTCCCCCAGCCACTGTCTTTCTGCCCCATGACACCCAGCTGCTATGAGGGAGGCCATGTGCAGCTTTAGAACAGAGGAAATCTGACAGCAGTTGAGGTGGGGTTCGAAAACCATGAACTCTAGGACAGGTATGAACAAATGACCCACTCAGAAAGAGTGGATTTTAGTGTCTTGTTTTCTAAAAACCAATTCTGAACATTTGATTTCTTTCCTTTCTTTCTTTAGCTTGAGAGTCACCAGTAAAAGTAAGGAGTCGGGGCTTTCTGATGCCAGCAGGCCCAGTTTCTGCCATTCCAGCTGTGGGCACATCAGCGAAGGCAAGCGCAGGTTCACCTACGACAACGCTGAGCTGGAAAGGAAAATCGCGTGCTGCTCCCCGCCCCCAGACTACAACTCGGTGGTCCTGTACTCCACCCCACCCGTCTAGAGTTTGACACAAAGCCTTATTTCTAGAAGCACATGTGTATTTATACCCCCGGGAAACTAGCTTTTGCCAGTATTATGCATATGTAAGTTTACACCTTGACCTTTCCATGGGAGCCAGCTGCTTTTTGTGATTTTTTAATAGTGCTTTTTTTTTTTTTTTTTTGACTAACAAGAATGTAACTCCAGATAGAGAAATAGTGACAAGTGAAGAACACTACTGCTAAATCCTCATGTTACTCAGTGTTAGAGAAATCCTTCCTAAGCCCGATGACTGCCCTGCTCCAACCTCCGCCACCTCAGGGCACACAGGACTAGTTTGATTCAGGAGCCGCACTGATCACCCAATGCATCATGGACCCCACTAGGCCAGCCCCGCAGCCCAAAACCCAGGGCAACAAGCCCGTTAGCCCCAAGGATCACTGGCTGGCCGGAGCAACATTTCAGGAGTCCTTTAGCAGGCCTAAGACGTGAGGAGGAAAAGGAAAAAGGCAGAAAGCAAGGGAGAAAAGAGAAACCGGGAGAAGGCATGAGAAAGAATTTGAGACTCACCATGTGGGTGGGGAGGGGGACGGGGCTCAGCAATGCCATTTCAGTGGCTTCCCAGCTCACCCTTCTATATTTGAGGGCCCAGCCAGGACCAGATGGGACAGAGATGAGGGGACATTTTCTGGATTCTGGGAGGCAAGAAAAGGACAAATACCTTTTTTGGAACTAAAGCAAATTTTAGAACTTTACCTATGGAACTGGTTCTATGTCCATTCCCATTCGTGGTATGTTTTGATTTACAGCACTGAGGGTGGCACTCAACTCTGAGCCCATACTTTTGGCTCCTCTGGTAAGATGCACTGAAAACTTAGGTTGTATCCATGGCATGATGGCCTTAACACTTAAAATGTCACATTCTATTTTGAGTATTAATATACAGTCCAGACACTTAACTCAATTTCTTGGTATTATCCTGTTTTGCACAGTTCATTGTGAAAGCAAGCCGAGAAGAATGAAAATGCCGTCTCGGGGAGGGTTTTCTCCATACCAAAACTAGGGCTGACGGAGGAAAAAGGTCAATTAGGTCAAGGGAAAACCCCATCTCTATACCAGCCAAACCAATTCACCAACACAGGTGGGACCCAAAGCACAGGCAACCAGTCATGTTTCCTTTTCATTTCATGGGGATTCCACGCTCTCACACTAATCTGGAAGGATGTGGAAGAGCATTAGCTGACGCATATTAAGCACTTTAAGCTCCTCGAGAAAAAAGGTGATACGTAATTTATGCAAGATATTTCTCCAGTTGGGACTCAGGATATTAGTTAATGAGCCATCATTAGAAGAAAAGCCCATTTTCAACTGCTTTGAACCTTGCCTGGGGTCTGAGCATGATGGGAATAGGGAGACAGGGTAGCAAAGGACGCCTACTCTTAGGGTCTAAAGATCAAGTGAGCCTTGGATCACTAAAGCTGGCTCTGTTGGACGCTATTTATGCAAGTTAGGGTCTATGTATTTAGGATGCCTGCACCTTCTGCAGCCAGTCAGAAGCTGGACAGGCAACAGTGGATTGCTGCTGCTTGGGGAGAAGAGTATGCTTCCTTTTATCCATGTAACTTAACTCTAGAACCTGGGCTCTAAGTAACAGAAGAATGTATGCTTCCATTCTTATGTGCCACATCCTTGTTTAAAGGCTCTCTGAATGAAGAGATGGGACCACCATCAGCATATTCCCAAGCGAGCCCACTGGCTCCTGGCAGTGGCTTTTGTGGAAGACTCACTAGCCAGAAGAGAGGAGCGGGACAGGTCTCTCCACCAAGATCTAAATCCAAACAAAAGCAGGCTAGAGCCAGAGGAGAGGACAAATCTTTGTTCTTCCTCTTCTTTGTATACACAAAAGCACCTGTGACAGCTGGCAATATTATAAATCAGGTAACTGGAAGGAGGTTAAACACAGAAAAAAGACCTCAGTCAATTCTCTACTTTTTTTTTTTTCCAAATCAGATAACAGCCCAGCAAATAGTGATAACAAATAAAACCTTAGCTATTCATATGTCTTGATTTCAATAATCTAATTCTTAATCATTAAGAGACCATAATAAATACTCCTTTCCAAGAGCAAAGAAAAATCATTAGAATTCCGTTACTCGGCTTCTTCAAACTCAGGTTTGTAGCATACATGAGTCCATCCGTCAGTCAAAGAATGGTTCCATCTGGAGTCTTAATGTAGAAAGAAAAATGGAGGCTTGTAATAATGAGCTAGTTACAAAGTGCTTGTTCATTAAAATAGCACTGAAAACTGAAACATGAATTAACTGATAATATTCCAATCATTTGCCATTTATGACAAAAATGGCACTAACAAAGAACAAGCACTTCCTGTCAGAGTTTCTGAGATAATGTATGTGGAGCAGTGTGGGTGGAATGGGGCTGAAACCATACACGAGTCTGTGTCTTGTCAGTCCAAGAAGTGACGCCTAGATGTTAATTTTAGGGACCTGTGCCTTGTTTCCTAGCCCATAAGAACGCAAACATCAAACAGATACTCGCTAGCCTCATTTAAATTGATTAAAGGAGGAGTGCATCTTTGGCCAACAGTGGTGTAACTATATGTGTATGTGTGTGTGTGTGTGTGTTGTGCATAACTATTTAAGGAAACTGGAATTTTAAAGTTACTTTTATACAAACCAAGAATATATGCTACAGATACAAGACAGACATGGTTTGGTCCTATATTTCTAGTCATGATGAATGTATTTTGTATACCATCTTCATATAATAAAATTAACTTCCAAAAATGTACATATTTTCTCCCGGATTTGCTTGTAAGTGTAAAAAAGGGGTCACGGGTGTCCCTGGGGGTAGAGGACTGGTGTTCTTTACTAAACACAGCACAAGAAAGAGAAAGCAAACACTGCTGAAGAGAAGGCAAAGAGGCTTCTATCGGTCCTAGAGAATGGCTGTGCTGAACAATCCGAACACTGCAAACAGCAAGTAAAACACAAAATCAAACGAGGCAGATTGCCCAGAAAACTAAACCCTAACATCAACAGGATCATGAAACAAGTAAAGCATATGCTGGGTGTGAGTGCCAGCCGCAGAGAAAAGTGCCCTCAATTAAAAAGAGGCAGTTGTCCCCAAACACTAATTTTCAGCTGATAAATCATTAGCATAATCACAGCGGGTGTGTGCTCATGCTGCAGGAAACCACACAAAATAACAGGCAAAAGCTTGACACACAAGAATGTGTCAGTACACATGCCAGGTCAGCGTTCTCCAGTCTTGTTTTGTGGATTACATCCTAGGAAAACAGCTCAGGTCCTAAGTACTAGCAATTGAATAAGTGACCAACACTTTGTCTTAGAAAGCAGTCATAGTGTTACCTGCCTAATAACGTCATAAGGAAACTAGATATAAGATATTTTAAGGGGAAAAAATAGGCCTACTTTATTTGGGACAAAGACAATAAAAATGGATAAATGACGAATCTCAGTAAACTTTTAGTTAACTCAAGAGGGCAAGAGGCATTTTGTCTTCAAGAATCTGAAACCTTAAAAAGTATTACGGGTTTCATAACATAAGAATAAAATCACTCATTCAGGCAAATGACTTGAAGAATGCTTGAGGAATCAATGTCACATCACAGTTTAGAAATGTTCTCATGGCTCTGGAAACTTATAGTACATTTGGGAATTTATTTTTATTTTTTCCTCCAGCAGAAGTATGGCCTAGTAAGGTTCATTGGACTCCTCAGTGTTAAACATATTACCAGACTTTGGGGTTTCACAGCCCAGGAAATTAAATAAAAGAAAAATCCTTGATCCCAACACGGCGATGGCCATTCTTCTATTCTGCGAACTAAGAACACTTAAGGGAGGGGGAAAAAAATACAAAACAAAATCCAACCGGATGCTACTAATGTTCTATTTCCTGATCTGGGGGGCAGTGCACAGGTATGCTCACTTCATGATGAGTCACTGAGCTGCACACTTACTTGTGAATGTGTGTGTATATATATGAATGTATGGATGCAATTATTCAATACGATATTACTAAAAGAAGAAAAAACCCCTACCATTTAGTACCACAACTTTTCATAGAAGAAAACCCATTTGAAAAGGTGGAAGGGCTTAATCTCAGACCAAAATATATTTGTATTTGAAACATACCTCTATTATCCTTCTTTTTCCCATTTTCATTTGTACTAGAATAAACTAATGAACACATGTTGTTCCACAGATTGGTATTTGGGAAGCAGTGATAGCTAGTAATTGCTATCATTGCTATTATTTGAGTGCCCAATATGTGCCAGCAACTATTTAGAGTGCTTTAACGGAATACACTTATTTTCAAGGCAATCTAACATGATAGGTACTATTAGTATACCCTTTACGTCAATGGGAAGATTAAAGAACCCTAAGACCCCACTTGTCATGTCTCCCCACCTCCAAGCTTATGTCCCCTTATACTGTGCAGCCCTTCTAGATGGACAACCCAAAACACACTGGTGTCCCTTCCTCTCAGACTTGAAGCTATTGCTTTAGCAATTCTCCACCCCCTCCCACCATCAATTTTCCCCTCTTCCACTGGAACATACATGTTATTTCTCCCATGTCACAAAATTTTCATCTGTACTTTCTCCTCTAGCGACCACCCAATTTCTCTATTTCCCTTTACAGCAAAATCCCATGAGCGAGTTGGTTATTAGTTATTATTACTTGTTTCCAACTCCCCTCCTCCCACTCCCTCTTAAACCCACTCAAACCTAGCTTTCACGCTCACTTACCGAAACTGCTTTTGCTAAGGTCACCAGTGACTCCACATTGATAAATCCAACGGCCAACTCTCAGTCCCATTCTTATTTGACACTTCAACAGCTTGACACTCATTCACAAAAACAACTTCAGTTTGGTTCCAGGACATGATACTTTCTTCTTTCCATCTCTTTGGCTACTTCTGTCTCTTTTGCTGGTTTTACCTCTTTCCCCTGACTTTTGAACATTGCTCTAGTTACCCCAGGGCTCGCCCTTGAAGCTTTCTTTTCTCAGTCTATACAAACTCCCTTCAGATCTCAACCAATCTCAGGGCTTTCAGTGACACCCATATGATGACTTTCATTGACAGAACAGATTCTCCCTACCTGCTGCAACACTCTAAACTCATATAGACACAAGTGCTAACCTGACATCTCTTCTGGATGCTCTGGCAGACTGTATTTTTTTCAAATACTGGTGTATTTTTCAAAGATATTGTACTGTATTTTTCAAAGATATTCTATTATATTTTTCAACATAGCTGCAAGAATATCTCCCATCTCACACAACCTTCGGCAATGTCCCCTCGCCTAGAATCAGAGCTGGCTTTAGGACTCACTCGTGATCAACGGAATGTGAAAGAAGGGACACTGCATGGCTTGGAGGCCAGGTCAGAAAAGATGATGCATTTCCTGAGTCTTGATACGCTCACTCTTCAACAGTTCCTGCGAGGGACCCAGTGGCCATACTTGGAGAAACCTAAGCCACATGGAGGCCAACTGAAGGTGCTCCCATAGACAGCAGCCAGCTGAGCCCAGCCTTCAAGTCATTCCAGCCCCCAGCCATTGGAATTTCCCAGCCGAGGCCCAATCACAATGGCGCAGAGACAAGCCTCCCTGCTGTGTCTTGCCCAGATTCCTGACGCACAGAATCCCAGAACGGAATAAAATGCTTGTTTTATGCCATTAACGGTGGAGTTGTTACAAAACAAATAACCAGAACAAATGTGTACTAAACATCTCAAACTTAATGGGCCTCAGACCAAACTCCCAAATTGTCTTCTCCTGTTTCTCCATCCTCCCGTCCCGTAGACTCTTTGTTACAACAGTCTCTTCCAATTCAGTAGAATCCTGTATCCTGTCAGCATCAAGCCAAAAAAAAAAATTTTTTTTTTTGAGACAGGGTCTTACTTTGTCACTCAGGCCGGAGTGCAGTGGCACGATCTTGGTGCACTGCAGCCTTGACCTCCTTGGCTCAACCAATCCTCCCACCTCAGCCTCCTGAGTAGCTGGGAGTACCTGGGACTACAGGTGCATGACACCACGCCTGGTCAATTTTACTTTTTGTGGAGATGAGGTCTCACTATGTTGCCCAGGCCTGACTCAAACTTTGGGCTCAGGTGGTCTGTGCACCTTGACCTCCCAAATGCTGGGATTAACAGGTGTGAGCCACTGCGCCTGGCCAGCAAGCCAAAATCTTAGAGTCATTCCTGACTTCTCTCTTCTTTGTCCATATCCAGTGAATCAGGACATCCCTGTTGGCTCTACATTTAAAACATATTTGGAGTCCAGTCACTCTGCACCACCTCTACTGCTACCACCCTACTCCATCTGGGTTTTTTTTTTTTTTTTTTTTTTTTTTTT